CTGCAGAGCAAGGAGAAGGTGCTGGCAAAGATGGTGCGCGACGGGCTGACGGAGAAGGTCAGCCAGGAGCGGACGGTGAAGCTGGCCTTTGCCAACGTGGGCACGCTCCCCCCCCCCGTCCTCCAGTTCTCCAACGTCAAGTTTGGCTACTCCCCCGACGCGGTGCTCTACTCCGACGTGGAGCTGGGCGTGGACCTGGACTCCCGCGTGGCGCTGGTGGGCCCCAACGGCTGCGGCAAGTCCACGCTGCTCAAGCTGATGACGGGGCAGCTGGAGCCGCTGGACGGCATGGTCAAGCGGCACAACCACCTGCGCATCGGGCAGTACCACCAGCACCTCACCGAGCTGCTGCCGCTGGACGTGTCGGCCCTGGCCTACATGATGGCCGAGTACCCGGGCGTGTCCATGGAGGAGATGCGGTCGGTGGTGGGACGCTTCGGCATCACGGGCGCGGCCCAGACGCTGGAGATGCGCAAGCTGTCCGACGGCCTCAAGTCGCGCGTGGTGTTCGCCTGGCTGGCGCGACGCACGCCCCACATGCTGCTGCTGGACGAGCCCACCAACCACCTGGACATCGAGTCCATCGACTCCCTGGCCGACGCCATCAACGACTGGGACGGCGGGCTGGTCCTGGTGTCCCACGACTTCCGACTCATCTCCCAGGTGGCCAAGGAGATCTGGACCGTACAGGACGGGCGCGTGACGCGGTGGGAGGGCGACATCCTGTCCTACAAGGCGCACCTCAAGACCTCCATGGCCGCGCTGGCCAAGCGCTCCGACCTGGGCTAGGCGGCGCACCGCGCCGCCGCGTGGACCTCCCGTTGCCACGACCCCCCCACCCCCCGGACCGAGTCCCTCCCACGCCGCCCCGCGGCAGTATTTCATTCGCAGCGCAGGCGGGGGCCCACCGTCTCCTCTCTGGAGCCCTGCCGTCTCCTCCCTGGAGCCCCACCGTCTCCTCCCTGGAGCCCCACCGTCTCCTCTCTGGAGCCCCGTCCTCCCAGGGCCCCCTCCCACACTGCATACATCTCTGCCTGTACCTTGGTACGACCCCCTGGCGTGCTGGACCCCCTGTAGGCCTTGTAATGCGTGGAACGACGGAGTGGGAGAGGTAGGCCAAGGCGGGGGGGTGGGGCCGAACACGGCAGGGCGCGGGATGCGGTGGAAGAGCGGACGAGATGGAATGATTTATGTTCGTGCACCAACGTCCACACACACAAGGCTTCGCAATTTAAACCCATACCGACGAAATCTACCAGTATCTATACGAAACATTCACAGCCGAACGTCGACCGATCACGAGACACCCAGACACACCCCAACACGATGCTCCGTCACGCAGGTGCCGGGCTATTGTTCTCCTCCTCGCAAAAGGTCCCCGAGAGCTGGTCGGCATTGCAGCGTTGTGTCGACCTGGCGCGGTGTGCCTGCCCCAACTATAGCTCGGCGACGGGGAGCAGCACACCCCACCCCAGCGAGGTGACGACAGTCGACCCATTCACCCAGAAGCTGCAGCAGAAGACGGAGGAGCAGTTGCGACAGTTGACCGAAGCCCCCACATATGCACAGGAAGGAGCTGTGGAGCAGGGACCTCGGCCTGGGGTGAGTGTGAATCTGCTGGTCACACACAGAGATTCAGGAGGATCTGCTGTGCCAAGTATGCTTGAGGGCCAATCTCATTGGAGGTTATTACAACCTCACACTCCCCTCATGCCCAACACGCAGAATCAACCAGAGGGCGAAGAAGGGGGACCAAAGGGGCCTGAGCCCACAAGATATGGAGACTGGGAGAAGGCTGGGCGCTGCTACGATTTCTGACCGCAGTCAATCCTCAGTACACACATCTTTAGCTTTGGTATTGAATGCATCATTGTGTTCAATAGAATGCACACCAGTTGTGAGAGTGTCTTTTCCGATCAGCACCGGTCCTGCGATCCATCTTTGTGACAGGTCCCGGCGAGGGCGCCTTCCGTGGAAACGCACTTCAAAAATCACGCCCACCCTCGACTCCTTGTTCCCGACCTCGTATCAAACAACATAATAGTGCACCGAGTAAGCGATTGGCAGATCAAATACCTTGTCGCCTTGCCGCTGCCGTTCGCTTCCAGGCCGCCGCTGTCAAGGTCCTGCTTCGAAACCCTGGGTACGCAGCGTGGATGCCTGATGCAGGCCGCCTCGAGCTCATGAAGCCGTAGCTTTCGAATTCAATACTTATGTGCACCCGATAGCGCTGTTCGACGAATAGCTTTCGCACCAGGGTGATGGCCCCCGGTTCGGCCAGGGAGGAGGTCCCCCTCCTGCCTGGCCAGGCTCCCAGGGCCGGCCATGGCGTGGATGGCATCGTGGACATCGACCTGTCCCGCAAGATTTACAGGACCGCGCCCCTCGGCGTCCCCGCTAGCCTGCTGGCCGGCACCCTGTACTGCATCGCCTCCATGAGCATGGTGGGAGGTGGTTGGAGGGCTGGCGGTGGGTGGGTGGCAGGGGTGAGATTCCGAAACCTTCGAGCCTGCATGCACGTCCATCTCTAGAGCCTACCTTCCTGTCCACCTAGGCTTCAGGCACTGGACCCCTCTCCCACATGAATTCCCACACCCCTTGCCCCTCAAACAGGTGCTGCTGAACAAGGTGGCGCTGTCCTCCTTCTCGTTCGCCTCCCCCAACGCGCTGCTCTTCTTCCAGTGCGCGCTCTGCGTGGTGGCCACCCGCGCCTGCCACGCCGCGGGCCTGATCACGCTGGAACCGCTGAGTGCGCGCATCGTGCGCGCCTGGCTCCCCGTCAACCTCCTCTTCGTGGCCATGATAGGGACCAGCTTCTGGGCGCTGGCCTCGCTGAACGTTGCCATGGCCACGGTGCTGAAGAACCTGACCAACCTCTTCACGCTGGGGGGGGACTACGTGCTGCACGGGCGCACCTATGGCGCCCCCGTCCTGGGCTGCATGGCGCTCATGGCGGTCAGCGCCCTGTGCTCCGCGCTCACCGACCTCAGCTTCAACGCGCGTGGGTACGCGTGGCAGATGGCCAACTGCGCGGCCACGGCGGCCTACTCCCTGGCACTGCGCGGCACCATGGACAAGATCGCGCCGCTCACGGTGTCGGGCCGCAAGATGGACGAGTTTTCCATGGTGCGTTTACATTTGGAAAGGGGGGGACCAAAGGAGGGGGTACGCGGGTGAGGTGCTGCTCAAGGCAGCTGGAGTCCGAGGCGGGCCAGGGATTCCAGAGCGGGTGGATGTGCCTGGCATGAGCAGGGCGGCACCAAGGGACACTCCCCGGGGCTGGCAACAAAGTCGTTGAGCGTGAGCCGCTGCAGCTGGCACGGTTGGGATAAGCAAACATGCCACCCGTTATAGGCTCGCACAGCCCTGGAGTTGGACAGTTCCCCACAGCCTATGACACATGCCAGATCCAGGATGCTTAACATCCCTCAGACAAACACCACCTTCCTTTCCCCCCACCCCCTCACCCTCGGCCCAGGTGTTCTACAACAACCTGCTGAGCCTGCCCTTCATCGCGCTGCTCATGGCCGCCTCGGGCGAGGCAGGGCGTGTGTGGTCTGAGCCCGACCTGGGCAACCCCGCCTTCATGGCCGTGGCGGCGCTCAGCGGCCTCATCGGGTTTGGCATCTCCTTCACCAGCCTCTGGTTTATCAGCACCACCACCGCCACCATCTACAGCCTGGTGGGCAGCCTGAACAAGGTGCCCCTGGCTCTCATCGGTCTGCTGGCCTTCAATGCGCCCTGGACGCCGAGGAACCTTGCCAGCATCCTGGTGGGCCTGGCCGCGGGCGCGGTGTTCGCCCTGGCAAAGTCGCGTGGGCCGGCGACCGGGCCGGGGTCAAAAGCTTGACTGCGTATACGATGGCCTGGGGATGGGCGCGGGCGGCTGTACATCCCCTTGCCATTTGCAGGGCTCCATGTTGAGCTCCCACAACCCGCAAGGGCAGGTCCTCCGGTGCTCGTAGCTGGCAATGTATCACTCTCTTCTTACTGTGTCGAGGTGTCTTTCCAGATAGGCGGTGTCAGAGGGTGCAGGCAGCATGAGGGGAAGTAAGAAGTCCAAGTCTTCTGTGGCAACTGACTCGTGCTTGAGCGTGCTGTGCTGGGCATGCCATCGCCACGATCGCCATTGGCCCCACCAGCCCACCGCTCAGGCCGCCGCCAGGAAGCCGTTGTAGGTCAGGCGCAGGACCAGGTGGCGCAGCGCCGGCGCCCTGCTCTGGGTTTGCAGCGTGCCGGACTGCAGGAGCTGCAGCAGGAGCGTCATCTTCAGGCGCAGCTCGCGCTCCGGCGACCTCAGCGCGCCGAGCGTGGCCTCCGCGTCACGCCGCTCGCCCTCGATGTCCTGCGCGGCGCGGTTGATTAGTGTGGGGTGGGGTACGGCCGAGAAGACTCGTGGCTGTCACACTGGAGCCCGCGGTGCAGTCACCTTCACCCGCATACAGCCAGGGATGAGACCCAGCGAGCCCAGGGCTCGCCTGTCTGCTGCGCCCTGGCCCCTCCATGCGCGGAGCACCCACTGAGTCGCCCATCTACGGAGTCCGCCGACCGACCTCCCGGCACTCCCGCCACCCCTCTCAAAGATGGTGCTACCACCCACCACCACCGCCCCCGCCAACCTGGATCAGGGCGCAGATCCTGGCGGCGGCCTCCATCAGCGCCTGGACGAGCGAGGCCAGGGGCCGGGCGTCCAGGAAAGCGCGGGACACAAGGTCGCGGACGAAGGCGCGGTGCGCGGCCTCCGCGGCGCCGAACTCGCGCGTGCGCGCCAGCGCGGCGGCCAGCTCTGCGCCGCCCGCCGCCACGACGTCGGCGTGGAGGTAGGTGCGGAGGGCGGTGAGCACGTGGGCCGCGGCGGAGCGCGCGGCGCCCAGCGCGCCCAGCGCGGCGGCGCGGCGATTGCCGGAGCGCCGCGCGCCGCGCCCCATGCGCTGTAGCGCCGCCCAGGCGGCGCCCAGGTCGGCGTCGGCGCGGCGCAGGCGGAAGGCCAGCTGCCACAGCGCGCCGTACCCCGCCAGGGTGTCGGCGGGGAAGAGCAGCTGCAGCGGCCAGTCCAGCGACGCGGACAGGGCCAGCCCGTCCCAGGGGCCCTGCGCAGGGACGTGCAGGCCGGGCGTTGTGCGCGGGCACCCGCCGCCGGGCGGGTGCCAGCTCAGCGTGAAGGCGCCGAAGGCGGGGTCCCCATCCGCGCTGCTGTGCACGGCGGCCTGCTGGAAGAGGAGGCCCACGTCGGCTGAGGCCGTGGCCGGCCGGGGCGGCAGCGCCAGCAGGGGGGCGGCCTGCACGATGTTGTGGTTTGTTCGTTTGGAGGGGGGGAGGGGATCAGCGCAATGAGGGTTTGAGGCCCCGCTCAGACAGTGCCAGGCCGAGGGTGATGCGGGCCAGGGCGTGTGAGCGGGCGATGCGTCGCGAATCCGCGCCCGGGGGCATGGCAGGGGAGCATGAGATCCCGCCCATGCTCCATGCCAAGGCGTCCACCTCCGGCATCCATGCTTCCTTCCAGGCTAGTGAGTCACATCATGCAGCCAGTCCACAGACAACCCCCTACCATCCTCTTCCCATGCTCCTTGCTCGCCTCGACCAGGAACTGCTGGTAAAAGTCGCCCCGCTCCAGCAAGAAGTAGTCGCGCATGGAGGCGAAGCGGGCGCCCAGCTCCGCGCTGCGCAGCAGGTGCCAGACCCGGGTGGCCAGGCCGGCCCGCGCGCTTTCCAGCAGACGGTCTAGCTGCGCAGCGCGGAAGCTGGGGGCGGCGCAGAGGCCCAGCAGGCCGCGGGACAGCGGCTGCAGCTCGGGCAGGGCATGGGATGAGGGCGGCATGGAAGCTGAGGAATGCGAGGCGGAGCCTGCTCCTGTCTCCACGCTGTCGCCGGCCCCCGCCAGCACACGGACGGCCCTGCCGATGAAGAGTGCGCTGGAGGCGGCGAGGGTGCTGACACTGGGGGGCAGGTCTGCCTCGGCGCTGGGTACCTGGGGCGGTGGGGTGGAGGGCGACACACGGTAGGGGAACCATGGGTTTACATGCCTATTGTACGATGAGGGTTTGATTGCAAGTCCCTTGTGCTTGGCCAAAGGAGGTGCAGGAAGCGAGAGGGTCCCTTGGCAGCCCCTTGTCCTCCATCCCTCACTACCAGGCAGCGCTTTCTTTTCCGTGCATGCCGCAACCCATCTCTAGAACCCACCACTCCTCTCTCCCTCCCCAAATTCTCACCTCAAACCCCGCCGCCCAGTCTGCTGCACAAGGCTGGTCCCCGCCATTCACGGGGTCCTCCACCCGCCGCACAAAGAACTCGTCCGACTCCCCCGGCCCCTGGCCGTGCACGCACCAGGCGTGGAGCTGCCGCAGCACGACACCCTGGCAGTGCCACAGCAGGCGCAGCGCGCACGACTCCAGGTCGGGGTCGCCGCAGCGCGTGGCGGCGTGCACGGCGTGCAGCAGGGATGCGCCCCGCAGGTCCCTGGTGCTGACGTGGCGCACCAGGCGGGCCACGGCGGGGAGTAGCGCCTGGCGGTGTAACGTTTTTAAACAAATTGTGTGAGGGGGATTATCAGTGGGGGTGAGAGTGGGTGTAAAGGGACCACTCGCTCCGCGGTGCGAGCTCTTGTGACCATGTCACATGAGACGCCCGCGCCCTCAGGTGTCCCACCCCCCAGGCCCCCCGTCTCACACCCTGCACCTGAAACTCTTCGAGGCGGTGGCAGAGGGCGAGGACCGGGGTGCCAGGCTGCCTGCTCAGCTGCTCCTCCAGCTCCAGGACGCTGCTCTCATACACGTCCAGCAGCTCTGGGGGCAAGGAGCAGCAGGGGAAGGCGAAGTGATGCGGTCGACAAAATCAAGGCCTGTCTTGGTGCGCAATGCAAAGGCCAGGTCAGGATGTCACACCATAAAACCTGTCGAACTCCCTCCACAATAGCTCTCACCGCTTATTCCTTGAGCCAGCGCGGCGCGGTAGAGGCTGGAGTGCTGCCAGGAGGAGTCCACGAAGCCCTGGAGCTCGGAACAGGCATCCCCTAGCCGACACAGGCGCTCCAGGTGTAGTCTGTGGGGCGCGCTGGAGGCTTGATCGGGAGGGTGGGCCTGGGCCTCGGTGGGTGCCGCACTCCCCTCCCCCTCCCTGCACACACCTGTCGGATTCAGGCACCCAATGTACTGTGCCACTGATGCGTGTGACTCCATGTTTGGGATCCCGCTCGAATATGTCGCCCTCGTGGCCCACCAGGGCCAGCAGCAGATCGGCATACAGGCTCGACGACTCACAATCCGCGGGCCCAGCACAGGACGACGACTCCGCCATCGCTGGACCACTGCAATGTTCTCACCGCATGCTTTGTGTCTCGACTCGAGGTTGAGTCGTAAGCTGCATCGCCATCGTTGGGCAATTCGGCCGTCCACCGAGCTGCGTTCAAGAAACCAAATCCGGGGCCGAGGAGAATCCCGGGCGCCACGCGATACTGAATCACAAACTCTGATGTTACAAGCTGCACGAGACAGGAAGGCTCCTCCCTCTGCTGTATGAGTTGTCGTGTGCGCCCTATGTACAGAGAAATCAGGCGGCTGTGAGAGACGAGGGAACCAGGACCCAGTATGGGTCGTGAACACAGCCCGTTCTTCCAGTTGGCCGGCAGCAGGGCCGTCCATGTCGCACTTGCGGCTGTGGCTGCATACCTACTGCTTCCATGGATGTGGCTCCTGATCTCATCGACGGCAGTCGTGTCCGTCCCAGTGCTGCTCTTCCTCGTGGTAGGTTTGTGCAACAGCCACCGCTAGCGCCGCATATCATCCATGGTGCTGAGAGATGACCACCCCCCTCCGCAGGCTATGCATTTCATTGCACCTGCTGCCCAGATCGATTCGGAGCAAGAGAGCGTTCCAGGTGGGCGCTGAACGTTTGTGGCAGTGTGTGCATCTGTCAGACTGGGATCGCTAGCTTCCATGCAACGCCGTTGTCTACTCAAACTCCTGCAGAGCACAAGCCTACCACGAACGGCCATGCTACTCATGCTGATGCCCCTTCTGCTGCGCCATCTACGGGTAAGGCGGGTTCTCAGGGGGATTGGGCACGTGTCGTTGAACCAATGGAGAGTGGTCGAGCGATGGAGCATCTTCACGACTTTTGCATACCCACCGCAGATGGCGGTATGAAGAGGACCGAGGCCTTTGAGCAGCTGGAGGAGCTGCTGGAGTCGCGCATCTGCTTCATCGATGGCGCCATGGGCACCCAGATCCAGAAGTGGAAGCTGACGGAGGACGACTTCAAGGGTGACAGGTGAGGGGCATTCCTGGTAGTAGATAGTTGGTAGGGAGACAGGAACACCCACTCTAGAGTGTGTTTGCCAGAATGCGGCGATCGGTGGCCTTAAGGCGGTTGCTCACCACACCCATCCCAGGTACAAGACCCACACAGCGGAGCTGAAAGGCAACAATGACCTGTTGGTCGTGTCGAGGCCTGATGTCATCGCAGCAATTCACAATGCCTTCCTGGATGCCGGCGCCGA